TGTCCGAGCAGGGTTTCCGCGGACAGAAATTATTTTACCGGACAAATTTGAAACTTACCGGTCATGTTTCAATAATAATAATAAGAAGAAGAAGAATTGTGTAGCAGAGTTTCCGTTAGCAGGTAATTACCGGACTATGACCGGATATGGCTAATAACACGGGAGTAAGGATCATCTCTTTTCCTCTCTCCCTCCCTCTCTCCTGACAGCCCGTCAGTTTCTCATGCAGCTCGCTAAAACTTCACTCGCGTATCCATATCGATCAGATCCAGCTCTCCTGATCGGCCTTTAGAGCACCGATCAAACTATTAAGAGTGAATATCGGCCGATAATGACCGGCGGGGCTCCCCCCGTTGACAGTTCACTGTCTAGCACTGGCTTCGTAGTGCACTGATCGATTAGGCTAAGCTAACCTGTAGCTGCTCCCTCCACACTCACAACAACTTCATACAGACATAAATAAAGCAGCTGTATTCGCCATACAGGAAACACACATTTAAAACGGTTTTGCCTGCCGTTTTTGTGTACACCAGCATTCATTAATGGTTCGGAAAGTGGCACTGTACCTTAATAATATAAAGGCTTGTATTTGCGTGCATTTCCTGCTCGGAAAGTGGCAATGTACTGAGAGTGGAAGTGTCCTGAGATTAGCGCCTGCAGGCAGGCTCCATGGACCTGTCAGCTCCGGACAGCGCAAAATGTGTACATGAAGCGCTACGTCATGAACGCAATAAATCTACCCTCGTGGGGGCGCGCTCATGTGATTGGCTTAGAATTGAGGAGATTGGCTACAGATAGAAAAAATTACAAGTACGAATCGGGTGACCGTCAGGGGAGTCTCAAAAAACCCACACACGAATGCACAGCGATCCATGCACAGAAAGCGGGTTGTGTTTGCCGGTGCAGCGGTTTTAAACGGAAAACAAATATGTGAGGATCAAAAATACATATGTAAAACTTTTTTCTGTATTTGGATTTTATTTACATGTATATGAAACGGAACACATTTGTGTGTGCATTGACAAACACAAGTGTGGACCCGGAAATACAAGTGTGAATCCTTTTGCGGATCATGAAATACAAGTGTGAATCCTTCTGTGTGCATGTGTGTAATATGAGACTGTTCTGAGCCCATAGAATGCTGACATGTGTTGTAAAAGCTCTTTGAGTGGTGGTCGCAAAGACTTGGGAAGCGTTATATAAAAGAATATGGGATTAGTTGTGTGTCATAAAGATAAAGCAACACTTTCTCAGAATCAAGCAAAACTAAGAGTTTCAAAGAAAAAAAATCGAGTCAAGCAAAATAAATGTAATTGAAAAAATAAAACTATAAGTTGCAAACAAATCATTTGTGTAATCATGTAAACTATAAGTCTTTGTTCTTTGTTTTAACATATCTTTTTGTTTGCAGTTCTTGTTTCTTCTTTCTCAATGATCAGACTTTTGCTCTCGCTGCAGCTCTCAGCTGCACTGTACAATCGCCGGAGGACTGGGCTGTCACTCAAAAACTGAGTAGCCAATGGGGACGCACCACTGAAAGTAGGGCTGTGCGATTATGGCAAAAATCATAATCACGATTATTTTGGTCAATAATTGATATCACGATTATTAAATATGATTATTCATTGACTTTGAAAACATCCATTTATTGAACTTTAAAACAAATACAAATAATAATTTGAACAGTATCTTTTTAACTGTTGATTACCCTGAACGTATAATTCAACTGAAAAACCAATACAAAAATAAATAAAATAAATGATACATTTATATTTACATTTAAATAAATAATATCAAAAATAATAAATACCAATAAACAAGATCAGCAAATATTTTGGAGCGCACTTCAACAAGCTACTAAACATATGTAAATATGATAAATACAAATAAATTAGACTAAAATAAATTTGATCAAATATATTGCACTGTCACAACCAAGCAAAGCAAAATAATCGTTTTTTTCGATTATGTTGTTTTCGTAATTGTGACACGCCAAAATCGTAATTGCGATTAAAATACGATTAATTGCACAGCCCTACCTGAAAGTCCTGCCCACCTTGGATGTTTGTGTCAGAATCGAAAACAAAAAATGAGGGAGCGCAAACGAGAAGAGCTGCAGCGAGAGCAAAAGTCTGATCATTGAGAAAGAAGCAAAAAGAACTGCAAACAAAAATGTGTTGTTAAAACAAAGAAAAAATACTTATAGCTTAAATGATTACCCAAATGATTTGTTTGCAACTTCTAGTTTTATTTTTTAATTAAATTGATTGTTGCTTGACTCAGTTTTTTTTCTCTTAAACTCTTAGTTTTGCTTGATTCTGAGAAAGTGTTGCTTTATCTTTATGACACACAACTAATCCCATAAAAGCAGTCCATTTACCAACAACCAGCCTTGGATCAAATTATCTTTTTCTCTTCTTTATTCAGAGTATAGCAAAAACTGCCATTACAATTTCCCGGAGCCCAAGGTAATGTCTTCTTGTTTTGTCTAAACCTAAGATATGGTATTTATTTAAAACATGAGAGAGAGAAAAGCAGCTACTCCCTTAAGCCCCTGTCACACTGTCCCGAAATTGACACCAGATGGACACACGAATATGGAATTGTGAATTTTGCACGAAGATGGCCCCGAACCACACACGAAGGCAACATTTACATTACATTTAAGACATACAACTGCAACGAAAGTAACAAAAACAATTATGTTAAAGTACTATGATACTGTACTGATATTTTCAGACTTTGTTCTTTACTTTCTCCGTCTTTATATGTAGAAGATATTAAGTTTTCTCCGTCATGTTGTTTCCATAGCAACAACAACTTCCTGTCAACTCGCCTTCAAAATAAAAGCATCTAAATAAAACAGGAAGTTAACCTAAATTACATTTAAGACATACAACTGCAATGAAAGTAACAAAAATAATGTAATATCCTTTTCAGTTTCACAGAACACAAATGGGGTTATTTACATAATATGTTTACATGATTCTGTTGTGCAATAAAACAACCAGATGGACACACGATAAGGGAAATGTTCAAATTCGGCTCTGATCGTAACAACATCGGGCCACTCGTGAGGGCATCTTAAGCCATCGTATGACCACCGGTGGAGTTTCTCAGGCTCCAGCAGCAACTCCGTGAGCGGTGGCAAAATCTTTGGCATGCCAAAAAATTGCCGAAAGGCCTTGCGAAGGTTCATTTTCTTATTGAATTCGTGTGTCCATTTTGCCCTTCGTAAGGCACTCGTGAGGGCATCTTGTCAAATTGTGCTATGCTGTTAACCTGGTTTTTGTCTGTGCATTGACAAGAACAAGTATTTTGCTTTAACACTAGAACCGCCAGAGGTCGCTGTATACCTAAAACCGCCAACGGGTCAAATTGACCCGCTATTGATTTTCAAGGTACAATGTTCTTTTATTTATCATGTAGAACAGTGAGTTTTGATCGCACAGGGATGAAACTTATACCAATAGAATCTGTGGACTCTCAGCTTTTCATATGATATAGTTTGTGCAGATAGCATGAAGTATAAAATATCGCTAACAGTGCTGATTTAAACGCTTGGTGTTAGACTTGTGTTTTGTTTAGGTACAAATCTCTCTGCTCTCTCTCTATCTATCTATAACTATCTATCGATCTATCTATAACTATCTATCTGTCTATCTCTCTATCTCTCTCTCTCTATCTATCTATCTATCTATCTATAAGGAACCGCAGTAGACAAAAGGCGTTGCTATAGCAACATGTCATGTTTATGCTGCATATTCTATGAGGTAAATATTACCCGCTGGCGGATATAGGTATAAATGGCTTTTCTTTTGGCGATTTTTTCAATCTGACTTCATATTGATAATTTTTAACAACAGAGGGTGCTACATAACACACTTTCAGGAAAAGTCACGGACTGGGAACCACCCTTGAATGATGGGATAGTAGACTAAAAGCTTTAGGAATCCAAACTATAACATATAATAAGTACCCTGTATCAAGATTGATGCAAAACAAGTGACATTTGACCTTTTAAGAGAGGTTTAGCAAAAGAAACCCCACTTCTGGGGTCATTTGGGTGGATTTGCCATATCTCTGGAAGCCCTCAGTCGATTTTGATGATTGACATCTCTTTTGAACCGTTAGAGTGGGTATGACACATTAATAGGTTGTTAAATGTTAAGAAGCCCTGAGACACAGTTTCGCCGGCGGGGGCTGCCGGGCTTAACAGGTTAAGCTGAAAGCAGAACAAAGACAACATGTAATACATTTCCAATTAGGTATTGGATTCCGAGTATTATCTGAGGAACAATACCTAATTTTCATTGCTACAACATTTAAATAAGCCACTATCTTGGGGTCCTAATGAAAGTTATTTGAATAACATCCGTGCTAAAAATGTATTTTGTCCATGAAACAACCAGACAGTACTACAGCAAAAGTTATTATTTCTACATAAAACAAAAACATGTATTTTTTTTCAATAAAGCAGAAAGATCTACTATGCTTGCTATTGCTGGCTGGATAGAATATATGTGTTCAATAATTAATCAAATAGCCAAATGTACATGAACAGAAGATATTTGTCCACTCTGTAAGCAAATGTAGGCATTGGTAGACATTGGTAGACAGGCTATGGGGCAAAAATGGATTTAAGTAGTATCCTATTAATCACGGGTGTAGAGTGACAGGCAATACCTCTCACTGCTTAGCAACCAACCCCTGCAGGGCAACCGTCAGAGTGATGAGATTTACCAATCGTATCTCCTCTCTAAGTGTCCATTGTGTGGCAGCAGATCTTTAACACATGTGGTTCTCTAACACTGCTGTTGTTCTTTCTGCTAGTATTATTAATTATTCACACACATATAAGAGGATCAATACACAAAAACAACAAATCATAGGTGAAAGTGTACATAAAGTATTCAGCAGCTTGTGTTCTTTTTGCTGCATTGTATACAAACCAGGAAGTGCACGTCCACACCTTCAGATAGAAAATATCAGTGTCTTACCTTGAACAGGCGCAGTATGTTAGCCACCATGATGGAGACGGAGCTGGACGAGGCTCCGATGACGCCCACCACCCTCTCAGGTTTGGTGATGATTGGTGCCCCTCCGCCGAGACACTTGACGTCTGTCCCGTCCTTCTCGATGAGCGCCTGCACGAAGGTGAGCGACTGCTCCAAGGCGTGAGTGTCCCTGGAACAGGTGTCCAGGATACGCGCCCCCAGAGTGATGTTGGGCAGCAAATTATTGTCGTTATTGATGCGGTCAAGGGCAAAGAGCATGGCCTCCAGTCTGTGTATACCCTTCTCTTTCTTCAGCTCCCCACATGGCTTGCCATCGTGGCCCCTGGCGTGCACCGGGAAGAGCCCACCTAAGGAGATGTGCCCGTCGATGCGGATGGAGTTCAAATGTGTGTGTCCCGGCCCTTTGGGTTTGGCAGCCTGAGTGATTTCTAGAGAGCTGTAGAGGAGAAGCAGCAGCAGCAGAGGCAGAGTCAGGCTTGTCCGATCCGGTCTACACGCCGGGGGTTGAAACATGGCCGCGGCCCGAGCACACATCTACGCGGCTACAACCGAACCCGGCAATCCGAAAACAACAGAAGCCAGGTATCACTTGACGACGGCCAGAGGGTTAATTGCAATACCTTTTGAAGCAGTTGGCACAGAAAAGGCTTCGTCTCATGTCTCTTCTCTCTTCCAGGCATTCAATTAATGCAGAATATGAGCTTGGTTATTTAACTGAAAAAAGTCTAGTCCTCTTCCCCTCTTTCAGTCCCTCACTCCATCATCTGACCACAGTGGTCGGCAGCTGCTCCTTTGCCTGTTGTTGTTATTCACAGACTTACCTATGGAGATCCTTCACTTGGGGCATTAGGAAGAACAAAGGTGAGCGATAAGCTTTTTTCTCCGTCTCTCCTTCCTCTCTTGCTCCGTCTCTTTCCTCTCCACCTCAATCAGAAGTTTTTAATCTCCCCTGTTCCCCTGGGCAGGGATTTGGTATATGTCAGAGCCCTCAGGCCTGCTTAGGTCCACAGGCTTCAGAGTGAATTCCTGAAAGATGAAAAAGAGAAGAGTAGTGAGCGAGTGCACAGAGAAAACTGAAAAAAAAGGCAAAGGGATTTGTTGTGGTGTGAGCTTTTCAATACCGCTTTTTTGCTTAACCTTTTAAGTGTAGCGTTATGTGGAATAAAGAGACATTTCTGCCGAAACTCTTTTCTTTCTCTTATATAGTCTTCCTACGTCTACCATTTGAAATTCAAAGGTTTCCATAGGCTCTCAAGGTTGACAAGGCTGAGAGTCAGATCCCAACGCTTCATATTCACCAATCAACCTTGCTGCCTAAGTATTATGGTTACAGTGATATAAAAACAGTGCTGTTGGCATTAGCAGTATAGTTAGGTTGGTGTTTTGTGTTCTATAATTTTTTATAAAATGTATCACCATTGCCGCCACATTACTTCTTCAAAGCCTGACAATTCATCGGAAAATTAAGAATTTAAAGGGAAGTTCAAAAGGACTGAATAAACTACAGATAAGGATTATATCTCTTTGTGCTGAATGGACCTCTCCAGCATTACCCAGGTATTTCTGCTTACTACAGGCAAAATCAATTACATATATTCTAATGGGATTCTTATGTGGGCCTCAGAGACTCTGAGCATGTCTAGGTCTGTGCCTTGAAGGCTAGAAAAGTACAACAAACCAATGGGGGTATGTTCTAAGAAAATAAGTAGAAATTATAATTGCGCTATTACAAATGGAGAATGGCTTTTATATCCAAAGTTGACAAAAAGAAAAAATACCCGCCTTAAAAATAAATCACTGCAATAAGCAAGCTGTCTTCTGGGTATACATGAATACTGAAGATACTGCACATTCTCTAAATCAATGAACCATCACCACTGATGCCTGTAATATTTCCCATGGAAGGATATACAGATTTGTATTTACTGATCACATATAGAAAAAAGAACGTCACTAGGGCAGCAACTTCGTTTCATTATTGATTCATCTGCAGATTATTTTCTGATTAGATCAATTTGTATATAAAACAAACATGTGTGATCATTTAACAAATCATTTCCCAGAGCCCAAGTGGATATCTTCAAGAAGTGATTGATCATTCTACACGAATGCATCTGCTTTCATTTTTTCACCGCTTTGTCCGTTATGAGATGTAAATTATATTAACATGTTGTGAAAATGCTGGTGAGGTGCATAATGGGGATTTTAAATGTCTAAGATATCTACAGTTCATTAGTTAGCTCATCTACAGTCCACACTCTTGACACTCTCATTTCCTCCCTTTTTTTTTTCCTTTTTCTGAGACACACAATGCATGCATGCCATATAGACACAACATGTGCTATTCCCAGCAATCATGTATGTACATATCTACACCGTTAATTCCCGGAGCAGAAATAGGCTCTGACGGAACAATCTCCCTCCACGCGGTAACAGAATAGAGCTGTAGACATTGGTTTCCAGCAGAGTGGGTTGAAGCCTCGGATCAGCAGTGGCTGAGATTCATTGAGAGCGTATTGGAAGTGACAAGGTCCTTTGAATACACCCAACTATCTCCTACTGAGTGAGAAGTAATTTTTCAGAGTTGATTATCTGCAGGTTCACTTTAACTGCTGCAGAGCAGATGACAACTGGAAAACCAGCCAACTCACCTTAGCCCCCATCACCAAATAGGAACCAGCATATCTAACATCACACAGACACGTAGGAGTCTGCCAGCATACCTCGGTATAGATAGGTGAAAGAAAAAAAAGTTTAGCTGTAAAAAATTGAAGGGTTCGAAAAACAGTTCTGCAAGACTGCATTTTTCAAGACAGATGTCATCAAACTTCGTGTTTGCACAAAAGAAGAGCTGGTGGGGAGTCTGTCTCCGTCAGACTGAAGACAGCGAGCCAATCTGAAGAGTATCTCGAGATGCAACTGAAGGAAAAACATCTTACACCTCACAAGATTACATCGAGCACTATCGCGTTAATCAGCTGGTTTTGTCTGCTTTCAGATACGTTATAGTGTTTCCTCTTTGACCAGGGTGTAAGTAAATCATTTTTTTTTATCTAAAAGATCTGTTCTTTAGGTGAGGGCTGGTTGTAGCCTCTGAATAAATCATTTCAAAATACCACCATCATTCTTGAAAACCCATGAATCCCATTTTAATCAAGCATCAGTGTTAAGGCAGGCCACCTTTCAGAGCTTTATTCACCATGACATGTAGTGATGTAGTAACTGAATACAAAGTGCAGTATTAGCATACTCAGTGAAATCTGGTTGCACATTATCACTGTTTCTTTGTAGGTCTTATTTCCAGAACTCAGCTGTAATACTGCATGTAACTCAGACTTGACTTGTGTCTCATATTACAATCCTCCAAGATTGACTGTATCCAACCTCAGTTTAAGTTTGCTTTTGAGATACTGCATTGAGAAGACAACATGCGTGTGTATATGGTATTTTCATGTAATGGCATACCTCAATAAGCATGTACAACACAGACCTACACACGGAAAATAAGCAACAACAAAATGTCAAAGAGAGCTGCGAGAATTACTGAGATTTGTATCAGGAGAACAACCTTTCCTCAGGTGCGGCGTATTAAGTTTCTGAATGGACTATGCATTCATTTCAAAAGGCCATACAGTAACCTTCAGGCAAATAAGAGTGTACATACGTAAGCTACAGCAGCAGCAACATATGCAGTAACACCTTTATCCTGATAAGCCAAAAACCTGACCACTTACAATTATACTTTTTTTATGCACATTAAAGGTGACCATTTTGCAACTTTAATAATGGAGATTTAATTAAGTATTCTCGACTGAATTATTATTAAATAAGAACATTTTAATGTGCAGAAGGAGACATATTGTGGGCGTTTGCTTACATCTTGTTTGCTCGCTTCGCCTACACATCTGTCACCATGACTATATTTGAAGTGTACAGACCTTTTTTGATATTTAAGAAAGTGTTGCAACATGCAAAAATGTTTGAAGGAGGCCTAAGGACAACTTTGTGTTTTAACAGAAGGGAAATAGTGTGTTAAGAGTAATACAAACAGAATATTTGTTCACTAAGAAATATGTATTGGATTTGCTTTTAATCCACTTAAACCAGACCAAATGCACTTAACCTGAAATAGTAATACTGATATGCTCTCCTTGAAAAAACAATGTGTTTTCCAGACCAGCCCCTACATCTTGAAACACACAATGTGAAAGCACTTCCTCGTTAGAAATGTTGCAGCTCCAGTCCAAGTCTTTTACAGTCCAATCAGTATTGCAAAAGGGACATTATAAATACAAACAAGGACATCTGAAATAAAAATGTATATTTATTTTCAGCAGATTATTCCCCTCTTCATCTTTTGAGACCTGAGCAGCTGCTCGATGCCGGAGCCAAGGAGATGTGCTTTCGCCGTGCTCTCACAGATGGGCAGGAGGGGCTCTCTAATTGACACTCCAGCATGTTGATGCTGCACAGCAGATCAATAGGACGGTGGAGGAAAGCTGCCCGGAGGAAAACGAATAGAGAGAGCGGGGCTAAGCTGTGCACAAGGACTGCAGAGCTTAGAAGAGGCTGCCACTATCTTCCCAGCAAAAGAAAGAAACTGAGTGATAAGACACTTAAAAGGATGCATATATAAGAATGGTTTTCACTATTCATGCTGCTCTTTGTTCATGGTGTAGGTCATGTGGGGGTTGTACCTTGTTTTTTCATCTGCAAGACAAAAATCTGCAATACAATTAGTACACTCAAATGAGCGATCTGTCACTGATCTGCTTATTCAGAACATTAACTCAGCTATTCTAGCCTGAAACATGTTGACACTGTTCTGATAGGAAAGCATTCAATGTACTGTATAGTTTTTGACCGTCACTTTAATTTGTTTTTGCCACAAATGGCGTTATACTGTATCTATGTGCCAATCTGTATTCAGCCATAGTAGCATCAGGTGAGCCTAGTTTTTATGTATTTTAAATAATGCTTTTGTTGTTTCCCTGGCATATAATGGCAAGAAACTACAAAGAAACCACACCATCAAAATGAACACTGGTATTGCCATCGACTATCATGCAAATATTTATCTTCAACAGTATCAGAATTGCCTTGGATTTTGCAATAACCAAAAGTGAAGTGGTAACTCCTTGTTATGATCACTTCTTTTGGAAATTGATTAGTATATTAGTACTGATTCATTGATTGGTGTTACCAAATAAATATATTTTTCTGTATTTCTAATGCCGATAGCTTGACCGAATTGAACATTTTATTAATATTACATGAATACAAAGTAACTATACAGACAGATTTTGTATTTACTTGAGTGCTGCCAATTGTTCCGCCTTTTCCTTCACTAAGGGCCCGCATGGCGTGAGGTTTTCCCACCTTTCAGCAGATTAACAGCTGCCATTTGACACAGCTCCCCGTTCCTTGTGCTAGATAGTGATCGAATGGCTCTAGCGGTATTTAGGGAGGCGGACAACCTCGCAATGGCGCAGGCATTACTGGTCCATTATCAATTCACTTGACGTGTGGCTCCAACCCCAGATATATGTTCTCTGCACGCATTTATTTTCTGAAGACCACACAAAGTGGCAAGAGGAACTCTACATTTTGTTGTTGCATCCTGGACCATTGTTTTTGGTAGTTTTTCTTAGCTTTGAGGAAAATATGTTTGTCAAAGAGAAAATTACTTCCTTTTTTAGGACATTACTTTAAAGGTCCCATGTCATGGCCATTTCTACTGATCATAATTCCATTGTTGAGGTATACTAGAATAGATTTACATTGTTCAATTTTCAAAACTCACATTGGTTTCTCATACAGCATCTCTGTATAGTATGTGTACTCTCTGTCCTACATGGCTTGTTGGAGCTCCTGCCCCCCCCCCCTCCCTATGAACCCACTGTGCTCTGATGTGTGTTTATGTGTTACAATGGCGTTTGTTAGCAACCAGAA